GATTCTGGTACAGTATGATCGTACTGGATATGGGAAGAAGATAAGGAAGAAAGAAATAGCTCTGTATTGTGAACGACAGCAGCATTGACAAGAAGCTCCATGGAGTGACGGACGGTTTTGCAAAATATTGCATGATATTGTGAAGGTTTAGTTGAATAACGACCATTTTATGAAGAGGCAGCGTTTGTGAGGTATAACTCTGCGTTTCTTTACACTTAATTGGTGGTGAATGTATGTGCGGTCGGTTTTGCCAGCACTCTCGGCTTAACAGCGTGCTCACCATCAGTGCGCAGATAGTTGCTGCACCTTACTTTGGAATCCTGTGTTTCTGATGATTTTCTTCGATTCATCGTTGATATGTCAGATGGATCCTCAAACGTTACTCATTCATGCGACTCCGGTTTCATCGATTGCCAATGAAGGAACTCTGCGTCACTACAGAACAAAACGCGGACATAGAGGTGGTTGGCACATTGCTAATAAACGAGCTGCAGTTTCAGGTATGCGACTTCCATCTGTAATCGCTGCGAACTGCAGATCGATCTTATTCAGAATGGATAAACTTAAAAGATTATTAGAACTTAACCTTTTTCGTAATAACCCACGTCGTACTAATTCGGAAACCTGGGTTGCATGATGAAACTGCGGATGAAATCGTTGCATTTGAAAACTTCTGTTATCGAATGGACCGTACCCATAGTCGTAAAACAAGTGATGGTGAATTGTATTTTGAATTAACAACCTGTGGTGCAAACTTCAATCCGTCCGGTTCTCCTTCGCTAAAGAGAGTCTTCAGTGCCTCGTCATTGAGTGCAGACAAAAACTGCTTCTTGTTTTTTGCCTGTGAAGTCTCGGCAGCAGTTACATCTCTCCTGACTGTGCATCTGATTCCATCGAATGTTTCTTGGAAATCCTGACTCCCTACTTGGTTGAGTAATATGCGAGAGGCTGGTTATTTTAATGCGAGATACCAACCGCCATGACTTGTCCTCGCTAATCAGTCTTGATCTAATTAATTTGGCTACCTTCTCAATGCGCTTCGGGCCAAAGCTAGATTGCACCTTGGTGAACTCCTCCAGTTTTTGTGCAGGGAATTTCGCTCCATTTGGATCATCTCACCACTGTCTAATTCGACTAATTCCACGCACTTGTTCCAGGTAGTGTTTGCGGAAGTTTGTTCAACGACAGTTGCCTGTTGTCACCTCGAATGATGGGTCCAAATAATATAGACCAGCTGACATCAGTGCTAGAAACCACAGACTGGGACGTTCTACATGATGATGACAAATTATGTCGACAACATCTACTACCTGTCTTCGTCTTCGGTTTCCACTGTCCTTTACAGAGGAACCATTGCTCCAGCATTGGCTTCTCCTCAGATCTTGTTAAGCTACTCCTACGACAGAAAGAAAAGGCTTACCGTCATAAAGCTTCAGCTGAATTGAAGGTTATCCGAAAAAAGATTTCAGAGAAATGCGCTGCCTTTAGAAAGAACTTACAACTTCGTTGTTTCCTGAAAATGTCAAATGTGGTGAGGTGTGGATTGCGATTAAACATGTTTGTATTTTCGCAAAGCAGTTGATGCAAATGTCATAAAACTTTCTTCCTTCATTGTGAGACCACTTCAAAGTATGAAGAAATTGTTCAGATACACGGGCTGCTGAAATGATACAGTTTGCCAAAGTATAGCCCTGTCTGAGGAGCATCAAGGCTTCTTCAGCAACTGGACCAGATGGTTTACAGCCAGGCATATTAAAACATAGAGCCCGTCAAATCTGTCAAGTATCCAGCAAAATATTTTTCCGTTGCTTAACTAAAGGCATTGATTCTAAAGCATGGCAAAGGATTGGGATTGCTCCCGTTTCAAAACTAGCTCATCCCGAGCATTGGAAGCAGATGGCTATTACCTCGTCGGCATTAAGGTGACTGACTAGGCTGTTTACCTTGAATACTGGAGGCCACCGCTGCTTATGCTGACGAATTGATTCAGATTTACTCGAGGTCAAGGCACAAGTGACGCTCCTACCATACTAATTATCTTGATTCTCAGCAATCAAGACAAAAGCCATACGATGGTAGATCAATGTTTATGAATTTATGCTGGGCCCACAACACGATTCCAGAAAATTCTTTGCTGCAGAACTTGACAGATACTGAAGTCAATCCTCGACTTGTTGCGATGCTAACAGTTTGTTTCAGTGACATTATACAGTGCATCTGAGCAGGAACATTCAGGCCGAGGTGGAAATCTTGTAAGTTTGGAGGTTCTGTGCTGTCACCTGCCTTGTTTGTCTTCTGTAACATTAATTGCAGTAGCCCATTGAAGCTACCTTTATGAAATACGCAGATGACACATCTTTAATTGGCATCCGTCAAGAATTATGAAGGCATAACGCTGTTGAGTAATAACATCCCGAATTTCTGTAGTTGAGCCAACATAGCCAGACTTAAGCTGAATCCGTTTAAATTAAAGGATGTGGTATTTCATCGCGCCCATTTTAAAAACAATGCGGCTATTAACAATAGTCGTCACTGACGATATGTTCTGCAGGAAATCAGAAGTTAAGTACCTAGGGTTTTTTTCTGGAGGAAAGCATGCATTGTGTAAAACACGTTGCGATTGTCGTTCAAAAAGTTCGCAAAACTGCATCGTTCCTTCTGTGACAGAGACAAGTTCAGGTACCGTCAATTTTTTGCAGTCTTTCACAAAGAAATGCATATAGCCTCTAATACTGTATGCGACGCTAATTTACTTCCCTAAACAGACCCAGAAGAAGTGGTCCATGTTGCACAGAGCTGTGAAAATGGCGGATTTGCGAGGTTATCTTGACCCGAAGTTGGAGATGGATTTAATTGCTAGAAAAGTGGTCGAAAAGGCGGCTTCACTTGGCCTAAAGATAGGGAACTATTCATAACATCCTAACGAGGCACTGGCATCTTCAAGGTTTAGGGTACAATTACCGGAGACAAATTCAGACCCGCTTACCTGCTGTCTGTCGTACGGAGGCAGATGGACGATCGGTACTATACTTTGTTGTCAAATGCATATTGAATCATGTACGTGACCATTTGTCGATTCTTCGACAACTTAATCCTCTTACGTAATTTTGTCTTTCGTCACATTTAAAGCTCACAGGTTCTTTGTATATTCTCTTGTACATTATTCGCTTATTTGTCTTGCTTTTTATCGATTACAGCGTGATGTGATCTTATTGACTCATGAAATAAATTACGTATAATTGATTAATTAACAGTTTTTGTTTTGATATGATCACTGACTTGTCCTTCGACCGCCTGACAAGTTTTAAATAATGCACAGCCGATGTCAGGGATTTGTATTTAGTTAAAGTCACATGAAGTAGATTGATAATTTAGTTCGCCTGACTGGTTAGAATTTTTGAATTCCTTTATCAGACCTGTATATATTTTACTAGAAGATACGTCCGTGTTCTGAATCGATTAACCTTCCTTTCACCAAATACTCTTACGTGCTTCTGACTGCTGAATGCTGTTGATACTAGAATTGAATCGTACTAGGAGTTCTGAATTCTTCGTTTAGTTTACATGTAGTGCGTTCATTGCCACTGCAACCAGTTAAAGGCTTCAGGTAATAATAGTTCGCGTTTTTTAGGTTATTACCTTGCATAAGCAGAACGACTTTAGCTTGTGAACACTTGTTATAGTTTACCGGTTCTGCGTCTTATGTCGTAATGTGTTGAACCAGGAACGGTTCCTCTCCATAACAGAACGGCCTCTATCTTGTTCCTCCATATTCCATACTGATATTTATATTAGCTCTACGAATTAACCGAAATGGAGATGTTTGTTATCATAGTCAAATTTTTCTATCCGATCGGTGCCATTTCCTTTTCGGAAAGCGTAGACATAAATGGAACGACTTAAATGACAAATGCCTTACTAAAAGGTTTTAAACACCAGAGATCAAGTCGCGCAGTTACGAAGGCGTTAGATGTAGAGTACAAAACAGCTGCTGCTGTTATCGTCGTAGCTTGGGGCTGAACACAACCTGAGCAGCGAATTTGCTCTCATAGGGTGACATCTGTCCTTTCTAGAAGGGTACCCTTCCCCCACTTACCTTGGCGGCTGTTGTATGCATCATATTCCCCGATGGTCGTAACAGTGTGGTTGGCGTTGCCCTGTATTTTCAGTTATGTCCAGTAGTATGTTTTGCCCTCCACCTCGTCTGTGTATAATAAAGTTTTGTTACAAGCTTTAAGATGTTGATGAGTTTCCATACTTTTTTACACTCGATTTCATCATATCCTGCCAGAACGTTTTTTCTGAGCTCGGTCAGCTTTTTCTTACCTATGCAAGATTAGCCGACCTTAGACGCGCTTCAGGTGCTTCGTTAACTTTGAGTATAAACTTTTCAGTCATCATAGTCCGTCACTATTAAGCACTATACATTGTCTAAGCCGTTAACTTCAACAGATGATCGTCTGCGTTTGGGAAAGACCTTTGTTTTGCATTGAATTGACGATAGGCTTCGGGTTGTAGTCTGTATATCTCCATTTACGTGGGTTATGCTTATGAATCTCGTTTGCGAATTCACGGAAATCCTGCCATGCCATTAGTCTTGCACAGATTTCTTTGATGAACAAGAATGTATAAGGAAGTTTGGCCAGTCATTTGCGGTTTCGTGTAACATTATTTGGCGGTGTTAGTATCGTTATTTTATCGCTTACTGTCAAGGCAATGTTTATTTCTTTCTATCCTTTGTGATCGTTTTTCCTTTCAGTCTTTGTTCAAGGATGCTGCTTTGAACACATCAAGTACTTCACCAATATTATTTACTTTTTGCCTTGCATTTTATTATAAAAGACGGATGCCATGTCCCGAGAACTTCCAGAATGCCAGTAAGCACGAACCAAGGCCAAATGTTCGCCGAAGCAACGACATGACATATCTCAATGCAGTGTCTAATAATCACCTCAAGTGGGAAGCTTGAGTGTCCCGAGTAGCACTAAAATTTTCAAAGGGTGGTTAACAATTTTCTCGAGTGTTTCTCGAGTGCACAACGCTACTTATGTGAGTGGAACTACTGATTTTAGCAGTCTCACCCATAAAGAAAACCACACGAATGAAGACGGTACATGATCATGTTCCTTTCCTACGACAGTGAATTAGGCCTAGAAGCTTTGATACGACAGACACCTCTTTAGTTAGTGGTGCTGTTAAAGACGAGAAGTTCCGAGAACATCTACTGTTCTAACTTCAATTGCTACTCTAAATTGGCGGCTTCAAGGAACCACTCTAGGCCAGTCCAATGTTGAACAGAAGCAGAACATAAACAGAAGCAGTCCCTTGTACTTTTTTTAAAATATTTTGTTGTCTTTTGCAGAGAGTCTTATAAAACTACGAACTAAATCCTCAGGTGAGGTGCTCCGCTTGCTTTTGGTTTCGTTCCTTTGGTGAGAAGAGGCGAACAGTCTTAAACAAAAGCGTGCATGTAGTTTCATATATATATATATGTTTGTATATATTGTTTCTGTTTTAGGCGTTGAATTCGGCGCCCGCATGGTCACCATCGATGGCAAACAGATCAAACTTCAAATATGGGACACAGTATTTTTTAGAGCAGCACTCCTTAATATGCTATAAAAGCTTTGTCTAGGCTGGCCAGGAATCGTTCAGGTCTATAACGAGATCCTACTATCGCGGAGCTGCTGGTGCACTGCTTGTTTATGACATTACTAGGTATTTAGGCGTTTGCGTAATTATCAGTTATCGAATTCACTCCAGAATATATGGCATAGGCGTGACACTTTCAACCACTTGACGTCATGGCTTGAAGATGCTCGTCAGCATTCAAATTCGAATATGGTTATTATGCTTATTGGAAACAAAAGGTATTCGACTTCAAGGTTGTCTCTTTACGAATGTCAGAGTTCGATTTTAGTGATCTGGAAGCGAAACGCGAAGTGAAAAAGGATGAAGGAGAGGCATTTGCGCGAGAACATGGACTGATTTTCATGGAGACTTCAGCAAAGACTGCTGCAAATGTCGAGGAAGCTTTTATTGACACCGCGAAAGAAATCTACCGAAAAATTCAAGAAGGCGTGTTCGACATAAACAACGAGGTAAAGTGATTGCATCCTCCAGCAGGAGGCCACATAGAGGGTGTTGTTCTGGCTTTAAACAAGGAGGGCTGTAGAGTAGTGCAGGTTTTGACTCATTGTGCGTGTTTAATGACAGGACAGTGCAAGGAAGGACTCGTTTCTGTTGCGGCACACGTATCCTTAGTAGATATGAAGAACAGGGAAGTTGGCCTTGTTAAACAGATTTTCTGACCATAAAACATAACTCTGATCGGTCAGTCTTATATGGGAACCGAAATTCAGCAGACGCCGAACATGAGGTTACATGCAATATGAAAAAATAAGTTAGAGGTAGGTCTGCGTTCGGAGAGGAATGGCTTATACGATGCAGTAAATCTTGCCTCGTAGCAAAAACGTTAGAAGGCTGACAGTGCAGCGGATATCACAAGCCGGAAACAATGAGCACCTGGAATTGTCTTAAGATGATTCCGACGAGCATGCCAGCAAGTGACACGTTAGAAAATGTTTTATGAATTGGAGTAAATAGACATCAAAGAATCAGTATGCTTTAGCAGATTCGGGACGTTTTTTTTAGTCAAGTCTTGTAAAACGTGGGCTATTTATATTGCTTTATTGTCTTCACGGTACCTAACTTTATTGTACGTCGCATTTGGTGTCACTTTGTATGATGGACATTCGGTTTTGCGTTTGCAGGCAAATGGCATTAAGTTGGGGCCGCAACATTCGCCCGGCAGTCCATATGCACCAGGCGGCCCACTTGGAGGTGGAAATCGTTCTTCCAATTGTTGCTGAGTTGTGTTACTGAATGAACGAACGTTCGATACCTGAGTTCGAATTGTCCAAGTTTTGTGCAGTTACCGTTTATCACTTAATTTCTGTTGTATTTATTTATGTGACAAATACTATTTAACTTTCTTCGCTCTCTAACACCAGTGTTTTGAGAAATGAATTATTGTTCACTTGGCACTAGAAAGGTTCTTGCACATGAAGGGATTGCTGATCAAATCGTATGCAGACCGCTTTTAAAGTTTTTGTTCATGTTGTCAGGTTATGTACGTGGTCAGTTATGTTTAAGTTTTTTTGCGGTATTTCGTTTCTAAGATTAAAAGTTATTCAACGCGTTCCTCTGGACTTTTCTTATTCTGAAGCATTTGCGAATGCTGATTTATTTACTCGTTGATGCAGAGCTGTGTGTTTGCGAGCGAACTTGACAGTGCATCTGTAGATTTTCCTTCAGTGACAAGATGAAGCACTTGTCAAAGAACCTACTCCAAATGAAAGTATGTCAATTATTTTCTGCTTTATAACCGGTAATTTATTGCTAGTTTATGCAACGAGCAACAGGAAGAGGCTTGTTCGAAGAAGAAGAGAAGCAACAGTCGAAGTTTTTTCCTAATTTGCATTTAAGGTCGTATTTTTGAAGGCTGATTGAGATAGTAATATCCAGTTTATTTAGAAACCGTGTAACAGATAGCCATGTCAAGTTGACAAAGCTGAAGTTCGGTCGCATGTCGTTCAGAGAGTTTAATAAAGAAATACAGGTAATATTTAGGAAAGACTCGGATAGCCTAAATACATATTAGAATATCAGGGTTTATCACGAAATTATACATAGTGTTTATTTTGAAGCGTGCTTTACGATTCTTACTTCAGCAGCGATAATAACAGCAGCGGCATTAGTAACCAGCTACCAGTATTCTGCTCTGCGATGTGCGTTATCTTCCAGTTGTAATTGTTACTTTACACTGGTAATTCGTCCAGCCCGACACGGACTGAAGTTTGAGTTTCATTGGAGAACCGTAGCCTTTTTTGATCACGCTTCTGCTGATTACGACGATTGATACAGCGTGCATAACTTCGCCGTCTAATTTGCCATCACTGAATTGATCAAGGTAGCTTAATGATCATATTTGCATAACGTAAGAATCATCTATATTTAAATCATCAGTTCATTCATTTCTCTGAATTCGTACAGATTTTATGGACAGAATTTGATGTGCAAATAACGATAGAAACATGGTGTTCTAGTATAGTCATATCAAAACGTTCGACATTCCGACCATCTCTGATGTTTATCCTGTACGGCTGCACTTTGCTCTGACAGACCTAACCGATAATTAGTACAAGATAGGGCCCGTGAAAATACGCAATAAAGATGCAGAATTTACATACTTTTCTACCTACAAACACGTGGATGTAACATCATGCGGAGTTGGTTAACCCCTTTACGGCGGCTGTATCTGCAAGTTACTTGAATTACAGAACTTAGAGTTTACGAGTGCTTTTAAAAAGGTTTTTCATTTATTAACATAAATTTCAAAGTGTGCTATTCCTGTCGTTTATTGAGTAAGAGAAAGAAAGGTTTAACAGGAAATTCACATACAAAGAACTTTTAATCAGCCTTCTGATTTTCTTAATGAGCTATCTATTTAAGACAATTAAAAAGAAACTTACTTATTTTGAGTGTACTCGAATTTTCGGGGACCAATATCAGTAGTGCTTTTCATCGTTTCTTCTAATGTATTTCTCCAAAGACTACAGAGTTCGTTATGCTGGTGCTTTTTATTTATTTCTTGTACCATTTTAAACGTATCGAAGAGTGAATTATGAAACATTTGAGAGGCTGACTTGAAGCAATTCTTAAATCATTTAAAATACCACAACTCGCTTGTACTGAAAACCAGCTACCTTGCTAAGAGTGTTCGTCGTGTCGCCTCATCATTTGTTGCCATTTTTGTGACTTACACCGTATGCTGATTTTTATTCTGCTGTCAGACTTGTCCGCGTGACTTTCAGCCGTAAAGTTGACCTTCTGTTGCGCACTCTCCGGCATGACTACACAAGAGCCTCTTGCTGTCCCTATTGTTACAAGGTCAACGAATTGTTATCTGTTTGCTGTCTGGTTGCATTAACGTAGACTTTGGCGAATTTGTTGCGCAAGACCGTTGCTAGCTAATAAGAAAAGTTTATGTAAATTGATTCATTCATTTACACAAATTCCAAATTCAAAAATCTGAGACAAGCTCAAAATCTACGCGCAAAGTATTGTCTGTTGATATGTAGTATGACCGGGCAAGATTTGCTTTATGGTCTTATGCAGCTATGCTAGATAGACCTTTGAAAACTGTAAACTATGATGATCCAACAATTGTTTAATACAAAAGCGGCTGCAAAACGAAGCTGATTAATTTTGATTAAATGCGCAGAGAGCTGGAACACAATAGGAAAACGCTCGCCTGCGTCAAGATTAATAGATACAAGGACAACGAAGAAATAGTCGTACGTTGCAGTACTTAAGACAGAAAGCCTGCCGATCATTCGCGATTTTCTTTGGCTCGAACCTATCATTGATACATCGAATTCGCCTAAAGTTATGTCAGGAACGTTTCAACAATGTGCGGCCGTAACTTCTGGTACAGACATAAAACCCAGGTCACTTAACCAGTCACGGGTTTAAAGACACTGCATACGGACTGTATGGTGTTGGGCTTTCGGTCCGTCTGAATTAAATTCATGGAATATCTGAGGTACTTATATTAATGCCTGCGCCTGGCCCAAACAACCTTGACAGCAATAAGGCAGGCAGTAAGGATCGCGGTGCCTGTAAAATTCGAATTGCCGACACTTATTTGTAGAAAGGGATTTAACTAGAATGAAAAACGAATTTCATACTCAGATCTTTTTTAACTTCTTCACTTTCTGAGAGCTGACAGATCCCGAAACAAGGAAAGCTCTAAAGATCGGATGACCTGTAGAACGGGACGAATGATATTATATTAGATTTTTTAAACTGTCCTTATAGATACTGTTTTCGAAATTGACAGTTGTTATTCTGCTTCACTCTGTATTCGATGTAGTAATAGAATCCTACGGTGATGACTCTCAAAATTTTAAATTGAAGCAGATATTAACATTCGATGCGACAGGTTGCAAGGTTTTTCGACTACTAACTCACTGAGCCGATAATTTTGGACTGATTTTTGCTGTTGTTTTTCTATCGATTATCGATATCGCACTGTGGATTTGCATATGGTTCATGTTAGGCAAACTTACGTTTCAGTACACATTTTTTCAGAAGTGGGGCACTTACTTTGGAAATAAGCAAATAGGAAAAGAAATGGAAAGTGATGGCGAAGACCTGGACGAAGTTGAAGTACCTGCCAGGATAATGGCCGGAAGGTAGCGCATGCGTTGTCGTTAATCGGTAATTCGCATTTCTTTAGGTATTGTTCGCTTAACGCGACCATCGCCAAGAAATTCCAAAGTGCAAACAATGGACCGGTACAACAGAAAAGGAAGTTGACTACGGAAACTCACAGTGTGTCACACGGGAAGTTCCGGTGCCCTTCTAGATGATCTATTTCGATCGAGTTGCGACTGTTGCATGATCAGTTATAGAGGTTCTGCGCGGATTTTAATCCGGTTTTCTTTCACAGTGTCTTTTCAGTTTTATTTTGCTTGTTTTCGTGACAGTATCTTTGTTGATGATCCCTTTGCATTCATAACTTAATAAAGTTTGAACGAAAGACTTTTAACGAGTAACTGTATTGAACTTGTTTTAACTGATATCTTAAACTTATATTGGTCATCACCTGTTGCAATGCTGGTTACAATTAAATACAAGTTCAAGATCGTGTTCTAAATGTTTTTGTCATTACTTTTTATGCGTCTCCGTCTAGTGGGGAAATACCAGACAAACTTTCAGGTAATAACGTGCCCTTTTATGGATGCCATCTTAAATCCATATAGAATCTTGAAATGTATGTCGCCACCTGTGAACGATACCAATTGGACTTCAATTAGTCAGTCATTCCGGTGCCATTCAGCTAAACTGCGGTACGCAGTTTTCAAGAACTCGACGAATTCGGACAATCGTGACGAACCATTAAAAATGTAGATAGTTCACTATAGTCAAAATTTAAATCGTTGTACAGATAGGAAAGACGACAGATTGTATGTACTTAGTTTGGGATGCACATGCAGTAATGAACGCTGTATAAAAGTTGATAATTTTACTAAATAGATTTATTTAGCGTGTTGGACTGAATTGTTTATTGATCTATCCCAGCTTTCTCATTTGTGCTTCTGGTTGGACGGAAGTAAAACTCTGATGTTAGCAGCCATATTTCCACACGACCATATATCCCAACCATGAAATAACGGACCCTTGATACCTCACGGTGTTCCATTTCAATCGGGGAAGCGTTGCAACTGTTACGTATGTTCCCATACATGCTTGCGATGGCAGAAGCCATGAATAGATTAGCTGTGAAATGAATCGACTAGCACGCCGTAGCTTGTAGAAGAACAAAAGTATCGTTAGCGGGCACGTTAAGTTCCGGCTGATCAGTTCAACGTTTCAGTTACACACTTCCACCACTTAACGTATGTTTATATACCATATTTTTCGGACCATAAGGCGCACTTAAAATCCTTATATTTGCAAAGAAATCGCCACTGCGCCCTATAGTCCGTGCGCCTTATGTATGAATTTTGGCCTGAATCCTTCATACAAAAAATGCTCCTTCTGCTTCTGCGATGTCGTTCTCTCCATGGTTATTTTACTAAATTTATAAAATGGTTTGATT